GGGAGCCATGCCCGGTGTCCACACGGGCCTGGGGGGGTGTGGGATGATGGGGTGCCCGTGTTTCTGTCTCCAGGCTGGCAGCCTGGCCCCGGGACTGCTCTTGGGGGGGTGCTCCATTAACTGCCCCCCTTTCTGTGTCTCTCTCGCTTTCCCCCTTGCAATCAGCCCAGCGACTTGAGGAAGCACCGGAGGAAACTGCTAGTGAGTGGCTCCCATCCCGTTGGTTTTTGTCCAAGCCCTTTTTCCAGCCTGCTCCTGGCTTTGTCCACACCAGGTCAGGGTGCAGCAGGCGCGGGATGGAGCTGGGGACCCCAGGGATTCAGCAGGAGGATCATGGGGATCCCGAAAGGTGCTTGGACATGTTCCCACTGGCAGCCTGGGGGGTCTGGCAGGACGTGGGGAGGTTCAGAAAGCCACTGGGTCCTCAAACATTGTGTCCCCTCTGGCAACAGGGTGTCCTTGGGACATTCCCATCTGTGCTCCTCAGAGCCCTCTGATGAGGGCCAGCAGCTTCTGTCCCCACACCCTGACCTGGACCATGGGGCTGCATCCTTTCACCCCCCATTCCCAGGATCTCAGCCATACTGTCACATCCTCCCCATCCGCTTGGGCATCTGGAACCATTGCCAGAGCTCTCATTCAGGCCATTCCTGGAGCGTGGCAAAGCCCCAGCAGGGCTCTGGTGGCTCTTTTGGCCATGCCTCCACGGAGCAAGAGAGAGGCAGGCAGCAGGGCAAGGATGGAGCTGGGGTCTGGCCTCCCACCCTCACGGCCTCTCCGCTTGTTCAGTCCCCCGCAGCTCGGGACGAGAGCCGGGAGGACAAAACCACCATCAAGTGTGAGACATCCCCGCCCTCCTCACCCAGGACACTGCGGCTGGAGAAGCTGGGCCACCCTGCTCTGAGTCAGGAGGATGGCAGGAGGTATGTGGATGCCAAACCTTGGCATCTCCCTTGGTTTGAGGATACACCTGGGGCACATGTGGGATGGGTGGGCTGGGGTTTGCCATGTGCCCTGCTCAAGAATAACCTAAAGGCTTTGCTCTTCCTCTCCCTCTTCCATCCCCAGCTCACTGGAGGACCAGGCTAGCAATCCCAGCAGCAGCCAGGACTCCTTGCACAAGGGCTCCAAGAGGAAGGGGATCAAATCCTCCATTGGGCGCCTGTTTGGGAAGAAGGAGAAGGGTCGTTTTAACCAGCTGAGCAGAGAAGGGTCCACGGGGCAGGGTCTGTGAGCAGCCCTGTCCCTGTCTGTGCCAGGCCCTCCTCACCCTCTGGCTCTGTCTGCCATTGGGGTGACAGGGAGGGGCGGGGACACCCCTGCTGGTGTGGGGATGTTGGGGCCATGGCAGCTTCAGGGAAGTTGGAGCTTGGTGTTTTCTCTCCTTGGCCTTTCAGGCCTAAGCATAGTGTCACCTTAATGCACTGTCAGAGCTGGGGTGTGGACAGTGACCTCCTGTCCCTGTATCTCATCTTTGATGTCCCCAGATCTACTTCCCTCTCCATGGATTTTGCAGAGCCTTTACTAGGAGCTGTTTTTCCATTCCCAAATCCTTTAGTACTTCATGTTGAGCACTGTGGGACTCACTGATCTTTCTGGGTCCTTTCCAGAAGGGACTGTTTGGTGATTTTGGGATTTTGGGATTTGGAAATAGGAGGGATGGAAGGAGGGGGTCTGCTTGGGCTTCCCAGGGTGCTGGGGGGCCATGGGGGTGAGTTCCAAAGGGACACTGTCACCTTCTGTGCTGTCACTGTGTGTTGCCCTGGCATAGGGGTGGTGACAGTGCCCACACTGGCCCTGTGGGACATCACACTGACCTGAGGGTGTCTTGCTTGCCCAACAGTGCTGCTGACTGATGTGGAGGGGGGCATCCAGGACCCCCTGGGACTGGGCAAGCTGGGGGCTCAGGCTGAGAAGGATCGGCGCCTACGGAAGAAGTGAGTAAACTTCCCTACCCCAACAAAAATCTGATCTGCTGGGAAATCATGGGACAGGACTAGGAATTGCTGGGAAATCTCATCTTCACCCTCCTTTGGGCTTTGTTACTTCCTTCACAGCTTTGTATTCCTGATGCTCGGGGCGTGTTCCCTTCAAAGAACTCTCCCTTCCACACAAGTCCCCCATAAATCACTCTTCTGCTTCTGTTCCTGCCAGGCATGAACTCCTGGAGGAGGCTCGGAGGAAAGGATTGCCCTTTGCCCACTGGGATGGCCCCACTGTTGTGTCCTGGCTGGAGGTGCGTGCCCATGGACTGTCCCCATGCTGTCCCCACAGGTCTGTGTGTGCCACCATGTCCCACCACGCTCGGTCCATGTGCACAGCTGGGGCCTGCAAATCCTGGGAGAGCAGAGGAGATCCCTGCATCCCTCACAGGGCCTGTGGAATTGTGGTTTGAATAGAGCTTTGGGTTTGAGCATAAGTTTGAAGAGGAGTGACTGAGGGAGCAGGAGGCTCAGCCTGGAGCAAAGGAGGCTCAGGGGGGACCTTGAGGCTCTGCACAGCTCCTGACAGGAGGGGACAGCTGGGGGGTCGGGCTCTGCTCCCAGGAACAGGGACAGGAGGAGAGGGAACAGCCTCAGGCTGTGCCAGGGGAGGTTCAGGTTGGATATTGGGAAAAAGGTCCTCAGTGAACGGATGTTTGGGCCCTGTCACAACTGCCCAGGGCAATGGTGGGGTCGCCATCCCTGGAAGTGTTCGAAAGATGTGTGGATGTGGCACCTGGGACATGGGTAAGTGGTGAATGTACCAGGGCTGGGAGGATGGTTGGAACTGATCTTAGAGGGCTTTTCCAACCTTAATGATTTTGTGAAAAGCGCCGTGGGTGCTCTCTCCCTGTGCTGTGCCCATCAGGCACAGGGATGCTGGGCCTCCCACAGGCCACCTCTGCAAGGTACAACCAAGCCAAGAATCCCCACATGGGCGTTCAGCTTTGAATCTGGGCTCTAGAGAGGGTGGCCACGGGAGCCAGGGTGGCAATGCCAGGCAGTCACCGCTGTCCCTGTCCCCAGCTCTGGGTGGGGATGCCAGCCTGGTACGTAGCCGCGTGCCGGGCCAACGTCAAGAGCGGGGCCATCATGTCGGCCCTGTCGGACACCGAGATCCAGCGCGAGATCGGCATCAGCAACGCCCTGCACCGCCTCAAGCTGCGCCTGGCCATCCAGGAGATGGTGTCCCTGACCAGCCCCTCGGCGCCGCCCACGTCCCGCACGGTGAGTGCTGCCTGCCCTCCCTGCCCTCCTTGGGCTGCACAACGAGATCCCTGCCCTCCATGGGCCACATGGTGAGTGCTGCCTGCCCTCCCTGGGCCGCACAGCCTGCTCCCTGCCCTCCCTGCTCACCCTGCCCTCCATGGGCCACACGGTGAGTGCTGTCTCCCCTCCCTGGGCCGCACAGCCTGCTCCCTGCCCTCCCTGCCCTCCCTGGGCCGCACAGCCTGCTCCCTGCCCTCCCTGCCCTCCCTGCCCTCCCTGGGCCGCACAGCCTGCTCCCTGCCCTCCCTGCTCACCCTGTCCTCCCTGGGCCGCACAGCGAGATCCCTGCCCTCCATGGGTTGCACAGCCTGCTCCCTGCCCTCCCTGCTCACTCACACCTCCATGGGCCACACAGTGAGTGCTCCCCGCCCTCCCTGCCCTCCTGGCCTGTTGCTGTTTGTTTGTGGGTCCCTGGGCCCCCCTAAGCTGTGTGTGTTCTCTGGTAGCAGGCAAGGAGACTCCACAGGGCTTCTGAGGGTGCTGATTAGGTGAGGGTTTGTTGGGGGTCCCACCCCTGGGAGCAGCATGGTTTTGAGGGAGAAGGGGGGAAGAGGGAGGGAGGGGAAAAGGGCCCAGAGAGAGCCTGGTCTGCCTCCCACGGCTTAACAGGGAGATTCAAAGTGGGCACGGAATAAGCCTTGGGCCAATGGAATTACGGATCCATGACACTTCAGGGGAGGATCACAGGCTTGGAATAAACCCTACATTTTCAAGGGGTGAGGCAGGGCAAGCCATTTAACTAAAATGTAACAGCACACTTGCCCTCCTTTCCCTTGGGACCACTGTGGCAAACATGGCCATGGAGGGGTGATGTCCCCTCATGGACTGGTCAAACCACTGGACGCTCATCCCCCAGCACAAATGGGGATTCCCAGCTGGAAGCATGAAGCTCTTTCCAGTTTCAAGGCTCCTGCCACTCACATGGGGTTCTCAGCAGGAGGCCAATCCTGCAAAGAGCAGAACTCAAGGCCTGGCTGCCCTGGAGAGGCTAAAACTCCATCCAAAGAGCAGAAATCCAAACATTCCTGATGTTCAGGGCCAGCTTGGTTGCACAAGCCTCTTTCCCAATCATTTCAACACAAGACTTTTCCATCTGAAATTCCTGGGGCAACTCAGAGCAACTGCAGCTCCCTGCCTTTGGTAGAATGGAGGGATTTTGTCTTTTGCTGGTGCCCAAAGGCCTTGAGGGGTTAATGATGGCCAAGTAATGCCAAGACACATCTGTAGGCTTGCAGCTGGCAGAAGGAAAGCTGCTATGTCCCCCCCAGATGGCTGTGTCTGGGGTCACAACTGATGGGGATAGGCCTGCAGGCTCCCTGAGCATCACACTGAAAGAAAGGGAAAGGGAGATGAATGAAGGTCCTTGGTCTTCTCTCTGTGTCTGCATGGACAGCCCAGGGTTCCCTTGGGCATTGGGGTGTCACCAGATTGAGCTGTAAGGATGTGGGGTGTCCCCAGGACATAGCACATGGTGGTCTGATCCTCCACCAGCCTGAGCCAGGCTTGGTTCCAGCACAGCTGGTGCTGACAGAGGCTGGACATGAGCCCAGGTGTGCTCAGCTGGGCAGAAAGGCCAAGGGCAGCAGGCCCAGGGCAGTCCCTGCCCCTGTGCTGGCACTGCTGGGGTCACACCTGGAATCCTGGGGGACTTCTGGGTACTTGATGACAACAGAGACCTGGAGGGGCTGGAGCGTGTCCAGGGAAGGGAACAGAGCTGGGGAAGGGGCTGCCGCACCAGGAGCAGCTGAGGGAGCTGGGAAGGGGCTCAGCCTGGAGCAAAGGAGGCTCAGGGGGGACCTTGTGGCTCTGCACAGCTCCTGACAGGAGGGGACAGCCGGGGGGAGTTGGGGTCTGCTCCCAGGGATCAGGGACAGGAGGAGAGGGAACAGCCTCAGGCTGTGCCAGGGGAGGTTCAGGTTGGATACTGGGGAAAATCTCTCCCCTGAAGGGCTGATCAGGCCCTGGCACAACTGCCCAGGGCAGTGGTGGGGTCACCATCCCTGGAAGTGTTCAAAAATGAGTGGATGTGGCATGTGAGGACATGGTTTAGTGCTGAACACGGTGGTGGTGCTGGCTTGGGGGTTGGACTTGATGATATTTTAGCCTTAATAATTCCATGACTCCATGGTGGTTGTGAACTGAGGCCATGTTTCTGTGGTGGTTTGCCCTGACCCCTCTGCTCTCTTCCATGCAGTCCTCTGGCAATGTCTGGGTGACCCATGAGGAGATGGAGAACATGGCAACTTCCACCAAGACGGTGAGGCTGGGCAGCCCCAGGGTGCTGGGGGAAGCCCCCGGGGTGTCAGGGTCCAAACAGCTCCAGGTGTGTTAACCCAGAGGGAAGGGACTCCCTCACGTGTCAGCTCTTGGACAGCACCCTGCAGCTCTTTAGAAACCCTCTTTCAACCTTTTATGTCCCAGCAGTTTCTAAAACCCCATCAGATTTTTTCCCTTGTGGACATCACTGGGTTGCTGGAGCAACCTGGCTGTTTGGGAGTTAAAGACAAAACCCAGGCGTGATCTCAAGACACATGAGATCCCCGAGCCTTTCTGCACCCAAGTCATGGTCTAATCCCCCAGTGACCCCAGCATACCCAAATATTGTCCCCACCATGTGTCCCTGCCACTGGCTGACATCCTGGGGTCCCTTGCACAGATGTGTCCATGCTCCCAAAAGCTCTGGCTCCTTTGGAGAGATGGAGCCACACTCCCTTCCCTGCAGCCTGATCACCCCCTGTGTCTCAGAGCAGGGCAGCATTTCAGACTTGGGTGGGAATTGTGTGTCCAGGGCCAGGCTGGCACACCTTGGGATAGTGGAAGGTGTCCCTGCCCATGGCAGGAGTGGGATAGGAGGAGCCCTTCCAATCCAGAAAAGTTTGGGGTTCTCTGAAATAGGCATTTTCTTGAAGCTTTTGTTGAGTAGCAGGGATGTGCCACTGTCCCTTGGCAGATTTTGTGAGCTCTTTTCTGGGGAAAACCAGCATAAGTTGGCAATGGAGGAAATTGCTACAAAATCAGCAAATTGTCTTGGGCAGCCCTCTGTGGGTCATGACAGATGTACTGAAGCTTAATTTTCTTTCATCCCTCTGACCTGGGGGAATCTAAGAACTCTCTGTGTTTCCCAGGAAAGATGAACAAGCCCCAGGTTCAATGCCATCTCCAGCCCAAGCCTCATCCTATCTCCTCTTCTTTCTCCTTCTCCTTCTCCTTCTCCTTCTCCTTCTCCTTCTCCTTCTCCTTCTCCTTCTCCTTCTCCTTCTCCT